GAGGAGAGGAGAGGAGAGGAGAGGAGAGGAAAGAGATCTTCCTGTATATTCCTCTGTATAGTAAGGAAAAGATTAAATTTCTTCAAATGGTAAATGTTAGCTAGAGTGATATAGATTTCAAAATATGTTCTGGCGTCACTCAATCAGAGAAACAGGTATTTACAGGTAGTGCCCCATCGCCTGGGTTTTATTTCCAGCTGTAGCACCAAAGAACTTCTGCCTCTGATGTTCATGTTTACAGGTTTGTGGCAGTAAAATTATTTGAAGTCCTTTCCCTGCCATCCAGGGTGTGCAGCCATACAAAGAAGTATAAACTACAGAAAGCTGAGATGCGCATGACCGTGTGACTAGCATAATGGAATGGTGCAGTTGAAATCGAATCCTTGGATTTCTGTTTCCCGGAAGAAGGAATTCTTAGGCAATAATATGACATAGGAAATGAAAAGCTACTTTTATTTTAATGTTTCTGCAAAGCTATTTTTAAATATAAGTCTACATACCAGTCAACAGTCTTTCTTTTATTTAATTTGCTGTCCTATCATGGGCTTTATCAAATTATTTTTCATTTTTAATATATTGTAGTATACCTCACAATTATGTCACTAAAATATTTACAAATATAGAGATCATTTATCTACTAACATTTTAGTATATGTGCTTATTTTAGGTTATATAATTTACTTTTTCCCTTTAAAATATTTTAATTGTTCTTTGCACATAAATATTTTTACACTTCTTTTCAGATGCATTTGATGAGAAAATACTAAATCATTAGGGTTTTTTTTTTTCAACAAAATTGTCTTATTGGGATATCTAGGATACAATTTAAAACCTAGAAAATTCAGCCTTCTACAAACCTAAGCTTTGTTTTACACTTTCAGAGGCTATGAATTTTTAGATCAGAATATATGAAACTATGCTTAATTATAGTTGCCATTATATCAACTCCTCCAAAGGCAGGAAGCAGCAAAACCATTTGTGCGGTCTCACTATAGAGTTTTTTTTTTCTTCCAAAACTTCCATTGCTTAAAAAAAGATCACTAAAAAAAAGTTGAGCTCCTAAAAACTTTAAATCACAAATCAATTATCCTTTCATTACTCTGAAAAAAACGTGTGACTCATCCAACAATCTGAAAATTGAAAGTATTTCACTATTTACTGAATAGGTTTATCAATCTGCAATGAAACCATATGGACCAATGAAGAATTTTATGAGCTTTAAGTCAATCGTTCACTTCATTTCCATTTTAAGAGAACACTTTTATTGTTACTCTCTGATTATAAATGATAATTTATGGATGACACATGGGAAATAAAGTCAAAATATTCTGTCACCACGCATAATGGAAAATTTCAGATTTGAAAATGTTCCACAGAAGAATTTCAGTTAGCCACTGGATGGCTTTCCAAATAAGAGCCACATCATAAAACTCTTTCCAAGGCATTAATTGAACATGAATATAATGAATAAAATAAATTTGGCCTCATATCTCCATGACGCTAAATTGAATACGAACAGTAAATGATGTGTTTTGATTAAAGGGGCCTGTCTGACATTTCTCTGGTCCAATAATAAGATTATCAGCCTAAGAGTTACGTTTCTGTGTTAATAATCTGTACCTTTATAAATTATTTGCTAAAATAAATTATGAAAAGCAGGAGTAACGAATTTACCAGCTCATTCTGTGAATGAGAAAAACCATATCTCAGTCCAGTCTTAAACTGTAAGCAAGAAGATATGCAAGAGACGTGCATGACAGTTGTCGTCAGTGGTGGTTTTCTGATATATTGATTAAATTTGGAGGATGGCATCTGTTAAAAATGAAGTTATGATTAGTATTAGATCAGTAACATTTGAAGATTTCTAGACTTAAGCTTAAATTTGACTTACATCCATTCTATTTAAAAGTATATATATATATATATATATATCTTCCTCCGCTTGGAAATTGTAAATAATTTTCTTTGAATGTGATTTCATGTTTTTCACATACACTAAATATCAAAGAGAAATAAGGGTACAGTATCGAGCCCTCATTTTTCACTATAATTAATAATTTATATGTTATGCCTTTAGGGTTTTGAAGTGAAATAGTTATTTTGTAAGATGTACCTATCCATAACTGACACACAAGAAATTCCTCTTATTCACACCAAGACTGTGTATACATACTATTATTTTTGACTTTACTAATTCAAAAATAAATAATAAATTAGGTGGAAATAATCATACTAAGGTCTTTTAGAAAGGCTTAAACTTTTTTCAAGCTCATAAAAAAAAAAATCTAAGCAAAAGCCATCCCAGAACACAGGGGCTGTCTGATTAAGGGTACAGGACTCACAGCAGGCTGAACACAATGAGTTTCAGGGGCTCCACATGCAGAACTTTTAAAAGCCAACAAAGGGCCTCTGCATTCTTTAAACTTGGTATTGAAAGCAAAAATCTAGGCTTCTGTTCAGCAGACTATTTCTCACTGTTAAATGAAATATGACAAGTATGCTATTCAAGTATTCACTTCTACTTTGTACTAGAAAAGCCCAACAGAATGGCTTTGAGCATTGTATACTGTACAATTGTCTGTTGGAGTATATACACATATATTACCTTACACATTTATACTTGTGAAAATAAAGGAACACAGTAGACACTTCCTTTTGTATTGATTTTCTCAGTGCATTTGTATGTGAAACTGTGCCATTTGATGTTTGTTGAAGCAGTAATACAAGGGCAATCCTAAAAGGAAAAAGTGTTTCTGACTCATTGCTCCAAAAAGCCTTTGAGACTTTAATTTCAGAATGAGCAAATACCTAGATCTTGACCTCAAATCACTTCTTCACAGGAGGCTTCATGGAGACCGAAGCTGCCGCCCAGGAATCCCTAGGCTTAGGCAAGCTTGGAACTCAAGCAGAAAAGGACAGAAGGTTGAAGAAAAAGTAGGTTTGGAAAGTGTTTTTCCTCAATTTTCTAATGCTTCATTATGCTTTATCTTTTCCTTTTGCAAGGAATTTAAAAAGAAAGAAATGGGAAATAAACCCACTTAACAGTTCTCCTGGTATCTCCGGCAACTCAGTGTTCATGTTTCGTGGTGACAATGAATTGAAGTTTGAGATGAGTATAATACTCTCCCACACAATAAACTACATAATTTAAACTAGTAACCAGATCATTGATTGCAAAAACTTAGTTATATATAATATACTGATTTATACAGACAGCAATATAGACAGCAGTATTGAAGTTAAATGAAGTTCTGATTTGCTATGACCAAATGAGACTGAAATTTTGTTTCCTCTCATGACAGTTATGTGTCTAGTCTTCATAATGGAGGATTTAAAAGGAAATAAAATATTTCTCCGACTGAATATAAGCTTAATATAGGCAGGAACAGATTGTTTTGCATCTGCCAGGAAACTGATAGTGTATCTTTCCATTCACATGTAATATGGAACATTGAAATGACTTGTAAAATTGGAAGATGAGTTTCAACAGCTGTTAGAGAGGGATTCCATGAATAACATATTTTTAGCAGCATAGTAACATTTCAGTGACAAAAATCATCATCCTGAAAGCATAGGCTTTAAAAGCATAATAATTTCACTTTATTACCAAGTCCCACTGTGAGTTGCTCTGTCTCTGCTCTCTAAACTTTTATTACATTGTTTTAATGGTTTTTATATTTCTGCTTTCTCCTACTAAAGAACCATTATTTCTCTAGCTATCAATTTGTGATCCATATATTTCTACTGTTACAAAACCATAGTTCAAGGTACTTCACGCTTTGTCTTTCTTCTTGCGTTCCAGACATTTACCAATAACAGGAAATGTAAACATGCACATTGCAGAAGAGCTCATTAATATAATGATTTATTAGTTGCCAATTTACTGAAAATATCCAGATCCAATAGAAATGCATTCTAGAAAAACAATCTTTGAGAGTCTTTATATCTTGAATGGGATTAAATGGTCAGTCACGGAATGTTTCTTATTTAGTTGCTGATAACATAAAAATATTAGTATTTGCCATAAGCTGCTTTCAATATCTTCATTTGTGTAATCCTCTTAAGGAATGCAATCTTAAGTTTCATGGCTATCTGTGGTGAACGTTCTATAAAGTATGGTTCTTTGATTTGTTTATATTCTGGTTAGTTTACTACAAATTGAAAAGGAAGGTGAAATTTTAAAACAAGTCTGCACAATGGACAGAATTAATTAAAAGTATGCAAAAATATTCCCCTTTGTATTGACCACTCCACAACAAGAATCCAGTAGCATTAAATGTAGCCACACAGTGAGATCTGATGTGACAAAGTACTTACATTTATTTACTCAGTACTTCCTTGAAGCAGTTATTTTTGTGTTCCAGCATTATCATAAATGTGATGTTTCATTGTGTATCAATTACCTTCACATTACACAGTTTCCAATTATTTATTCTCATTACATATTAGTGGCTTGTTCTCAAGCTGCAACTCACTGATTCACATATTTCACAGTTACACTCTTGGTAGTCCTCGTTCAAATCTGCAGTTTTTCCTTATCTTCCTGCCTTCGCTCTCTTGGTCTTTAAGGGTTGAGCTATTTATTCTCAGAATTTAGTCTTCATGCAATGTTGTGACATTTGTCATATGAGCTCACTTGGTGTTTGTCATGATGCTTAAATCTTACCCATCATCCTCTGTCTTATTTCACTGGATTATAGGTACATTTTTTTTCTGTAAAATAGAAATGAAGATCTCTTCTAAAACTGACACTGAGAGCACATAGAAATAAAACCTTTACTCTTGTGTCTGTCATCCTGATCATTAAGTACTCATTTCCTTTTCTCAGACATCCAGCCAGTTATTTAATACCTTAAGCTATTTGCTTTGGAGAACTTGAAAGTTAATGCTAACCACACAGATATTAAGCCCAACATCATAGAATAATATGGATCAGCCAAGTGCTGAATAGGTCACAAAAAACCCTTCAATTTCTAAGTAAGGTTCAACTCATCCAAATTTTAGGTAAAGTCTTGATTTGGCTGCTATAAGGTCCTATCTTAACTGTTTTTCTTGTTGTAGTAGCAAAATACCTAACAGTCATTTAAAAAAGGAAAATTTCACTTTGGTTGACAGTTTCCAGGGATACAGTCCTTAATATTGGGGAGTGCATATTGGTAGAAGTAGGAGGCAGCTGGTCTCATTGCATCTAGAGTTAGGAAGTAAAAAGTGATCAATACTGAGGCTCAACTTATTTTATTCTTTTTATTCAAAAGAGGAACTCAGCCCTTGGAAAAACACCACGCACATTTATGGTTGGTCTTCCCACTCCAATTAACCTACTCTAGAAAATCTCTCCAATGCATACCCAGAGGTGTGTTCTCATAGTGATTCTAGGTTCCGTCAAGTTGACTGTTAAGTTTTACCAACCCTGATCCAATAAATAGAAACTGTCATCCTTGCCTAAGTTCAGAATTTATCTGATAATACTCAAAGAAGTCAGACAATTTGAGATCAGATGTCAACATAATGCTGTTAAAATGGGGCTTATATGTCTGACAAGTTTGCATACCAGTTAAAGAGCTGCTAGTCACAGTCTTCCAAAGTCTCAAATATAAACCCTATGTCATCTTAATGGTAAAGTTGACAATTTTATAATATGATAATATGATACATAAAGACAATAACTATTGACAAATGAAAATTTGTGTTATTAGCATTCTTTCCTGTAAGAGTATTTTGGAAAAAATGTTAATTATATTTTACTATTATTTTGTCAAATTTTATACTCTCTACACTCTTTCAGAATATATTTAGCTTTTAGTTTTCATCTGTCCATCCTTAGAAATATGATGATAGCAGGGTGAGTACCTAGTTACGTGAGGTACTGAAGATATGAAAACATATCTTACACTTAAGAACTAACGAGTAATTGCCAAACATTCAGAATTATTGGTTTAAAAATATTCTCTTCTTCCAGTCATATTTAATGTTAATTGTCATTCTTTGCACATAGTATGCAGAATTTATTTTCCCATTTTTTCATACTTTGGTGGCTTTTAAGACCTTTTGGATGGGTCTAATCTTTGAGGTTCTAGAATACTTTTAATATATGTCTACTTATGTATATATTGTAATGCCAAAGGACCATGTTTGTGCTGGAAAGATACTTTAGCAATGATCTATATCTCCAGCCATCATGCTATTTATGTATATTTCACTCTCCTTCTTTGTATTTTCAACCAGTAGAGTTGTCAGACTAGACCAGTTAAAATTTATTGACCCAAAGGGTTTGCATTTGCAGTGTCTTCTTCCATCTCAAGAAACTTATTATTGACAGGACTAAAGCTAAAGATGTCTGCTTGAATAAACAATTTCCAAGAAATATTTTGACCTAACATCAAAGAAAACAGTGAGTAAGCAGGACCCATTTTTAAACTAACAGTAATGTCACCCTGTGGATATTTATCTCCAGAAACACTAATCATTGAAAGTATAGCTTAATCTTTATAGTTATATTTTCCCAAGGCTTCTAAACATTACATTATATATATATATAATATATAACTCCTAAATATATGTGTGTGCTAAAAATTGCCTAGACCTTGATGTATAATTGAAAAATAACATATGAGGTTTGACACATTGAGTAATTTATCATTTTGTTCCTCAGTTATAACATTAACAATATGTTATTATATCAGAGTTTAGTTTTCTACATCCTCCTGAATGGATAACACTACTAAGTGAACATTAATTTTGTATTTGGATCAATATTTCAACATCATTAAAATGAAATCAATGCTCCAGTTAAGCTATCAATAGCATCCTCTCCAGAGAAGTAGCCTTATCCTCGGAGCATGGCAATCAAACTAAATCACCACCAATGAATCTTTATATTAGAACTTCAAAGAGCTCAAAGTGAAGCTCTATAGATTTGGCTAATTTATTCTCATCACAGTCCTCAGGCTCTTCTTACACACATAATTTTTATTATGTTTTGAGATGCTGCACTTTTAATCCTTGGCATTTGAAAGGTTCAGAGTAAGCATATCTCTAAGCAAAGTAAATGTCACTTAAATTATTCATACTCTAAGGTACCACAAAACTCTGCAACATTTTTCATTCAATAAATATTTATCCAGTGACTATGTGCCAATTTTAAGTTATAAATGAGTTGTAGTTAAGAACTTGTGTTTAAAGATGTGAACATGTTTTCTTTTTTCTAAGTGGTGTGTGTACATGGAAGGTAAACATCTGAGCTTCTCTCACACAAGACTATTTTCTAGGTAAACTATAAAAATTAATTTTAGTTACATAAAGCATAAAAGGGGGAACAACTGGCTAGAATTGAGCCTCTCACAGACTCCTGAGACATCAGAGTCAAGGTGCTTCCAGATGACACAAAGAGATCACATTTCTGCTGTATGCTTTCATAAGCACCTTCATTCTTCCTTGCTCTGTTTGAGTCTTGAAACCCAGTTACACTGTGCAGAGCAAGGGTTTGTACTTCAGTCAATATGTTGCTGTCAAGGGTTCATGCAATCACTAGGGATATGGTGGTGGACAGCTCACTCAAATCACCTATTACAGTACAATTTGAGGAAACCAAACCCAATAATTCTCTTGGAAAATATGTTCCAGTTTCCTACTCAGAGATCAGAGTGTGGCTTTATGCCTGTGCTGGGACCAAGGTATCATTTCAGAGATCTGTTGTGCTCCAGTGAAAGACAATCAAAAGCCTTTCTTGCACCTAAATAATATGATCCAGAGACAAACAGCGAAAATAATGCACTGTTCTTTCATGAAAACTAAAACTAAGAAAACTGTTGGTACTTTCTTTTATGTATGGTTAGATGCATCTTATCTGATCTATTTGAAGAATGAAAAAGAATGAGAAAAGAGAAAGCTATTTTGAGTCAACAGTAGAGTAACAATACGTTACAGGGTAAGCA